ACATATACATATACATATACATATACATATATATATATATATATATATATATATATATATATATATATTCATGTTTAAGAAAGAGGACTGGAGGATGGCTCAGTGGTTAAGAGCTCTTGCTACTCTTGCAGAGGATCTGAGTTCAATTTCCAGCACCCATATTAGGTAGCTTACAACCATCTACTTGTAACTCCAGATCCTTGGGATCTAATTATCTTTTCTGGCTTCTACCAACACTTGCACATGTACACACACACACACTTTTAAATTTTACTTATTTACAAGACAGGGTTTCTCTGCATAGTCCTAACTGTCCTGGAACTCACTCTTGAAGACCAGGCTAGGCTGGCTTTGAACTCAGAGATCTGCCTTCTTTTGCCTCCTGAGTGCTGGGATTAAAGGTGTGCACCATAGTTCCCTGCAATTTTTAAAAGATATACATGAAGTAATGTAATTGTTAGACTTGAGCAGAAATTGACAATTGAATGAATGAATGATGGAAGTTTTCACTGTAGATTTAGTGTATGAGTTTATATGAAAATCTACTCCTGAGGCTGGAGTTGGCATGGTTGTTAAGAACATTGGCCCTTCTTGCAGAGGCCCTAGCTTCAACTTGTAGAGTCTACATGGTGGCTCACAACCACCTGAAACTCCAGTTCCAGGGGATCCAATATCGTCTTTTGGGCTCATTGGCACTGCATACCTTATGGTGCACATACATACACTAAGGCACACACATATAAAATAAAAAATAAAGAATCTATTCACATATTACTTATGATTAGCATAATAAAAACAACTATATTCAGAACTATAGTCTAAATTCTTCCATACCTTCCCATTGCCTTCAAGTTGCTATCTAATAAGGTTTGAATAGGTCTGGCTCTCCAATCAGTTCTCTGTGTGCTATAACCATAGCAATTACACAAGAGTCCCTTCCTATCTGGTGATGTCTCAGCACGTTAGGCCTTGGACTTAAAATGCCTCTCTTTATTGGGCCCATTTGAGTATTCCCAGAAACCAGGGATTTGTTAAGAAGTGACTGGAAAAATACTATTTTTTTAATTAAAACAACAACAACAACACTGTTTTTGCAATACTATCTTTATGTTGTTTTGAGACAGATCTCACTATGTAGCCCAGGCTGGCCTTGGATTCAAATGTGGGCTCTTTCTGCTCTAGCCTCCTGAGTGCTGGGTTTACCAGAACATGCCATCACACCCAGCTTGAACACTGTCCTGTGGGATACATGCTGGTATACAGATCTGAGTGCACAGTGCACACTTGAGGGTGTGCACGAAGAAGCCATTGGTCACTGTCAGGTGTCATCCTCGGTTGGCCTCCACCTCATGCTTTGAGACAGGGTCTCTCACTGAACTGAACCTGGAGCTTACTGACTAGGCCGGCTGGCCAATGAGCCCCCCCCCCAGGATCTTCTATATTTATCTCCTAATTGCTAGGAGAACAGGAGCGCCAACTTTCCACACAGCTGCTGGAGATCTGAACTCAGGTCCTCATGCTTAAGAAATCACTATCCACTGAGCCTTGAATATCACCACCCTGGATACTGACTTCAGTGCCAACACACTAAACAATGCTTGTTTCCCCATTGCTAGATGGAGTCCCTGTCAGAGTGCAGTGGGTTATCAGGATCAGACGCTGGATAGGTATTCTAGAACTGCCAGAGAAACATGCTGACTTGCCTGTTCTCTAGTTTGTGACCTAAAGGCCACATCAGACAGAATATTGATGATGCGACTATTGTGATTAATAATTTATTAGCTGCCATCTGTGATTTAGAGCCCTGAGTTTGAGGCTGAGGCTACAGCTCAGTTGGTAGTGTGCTTGCCTAGCATGCGGGAAACCCTGTAATTCTAGCATTGACAAGGAGGCAAACACACTGGGTAGAAGGGAGAAGAGAGAAAGACAGATATAAATGCATATATACATACATATACCCCTTCTGATTCTATCTTTGGTTAAGACATTTTCCTTCTCTCCAGGTCTGATCTCCTTGGTTGTAAAATTAGTTTATTTGCACTAAATCTCTATGTTCTTTCTAATTGTAAGGTCAGAATTCTATCAACTTAGGGACTATATTAAGGATTTTTTTCTTAAAGTCAGGTTCAGATGTAGCCAAGGCTAGCCTCAAACTTGCTATATAACTAAAATGTCTTTGGACTTTGGATCTTCCTGCTTCCACCCTTTGCTTGCTGGGATTACTGGCATGTACCACTTTATGAAGATTTGTGGACCAAACCTAGGGCTTCATGCAAGCTAAGTACACACTCCACTAACGGCCATATCTTCAATCCCTATTAAGGAATTTGTGCAAGAGCTTTCCCTCAGAGTTGTTCTGATAATCCTCCCCACTCCCTACTGTTAAAAGAGCAGCTCAGGGGTGTGGCCACAGCTTATAACACTCTAGCATGTCAAGCCCTAGGTTTGACCTCTAAACGGAAGAAGAGGAGCAAGAGGAGGAGGAGGAGGAGGAGGAGGAGGAGGAAAGGAGGAGGAAGAAGAAAAGAGGGAGGGGGAAGAAGAAAAAGGAGGAGGAAGAGGAGAAAGAAAAAGGAGGAGGAGGAGGAAGAAGAAGAAGAAGAAAAGAGGGAGGGGGAAGAAGAAAAAGGAGGAGGAAGAGGAGAAAGAAAAAGGAGGAGGAGGAAGAGGAGGAGGAGGAGGAGGAGGAGGAGGAGGAGGAGGAACATTAAATGGCCTAAAGTGGGTGGAGGGTGCCTCTGGAGAGGTGGCTCGGTAGTTAAAAGGACTGACTGCTCTTCCAGAGGTCCTGAAATTCAATATCCAGAAGCCATGTGTTCTCTCAACCATCTATAACGGGTTCTGAAACCCTTTTCTGGGATGCAGGCGTACATGCAGAAAGAGTGCTCATATACA